GGGGGGGGGTTGAGCTGTGTATCATACGCTTAAAGCCCATACAGAGGTTTTTCCACCTTACCAAAAGAAAAATAATGTTCCAATTTTACGATATTGCACTATAGTGAGATTAAGTCGGGTTCTGACTGTGTAACAGTAACATAACCATTACATTAGCCTCAGTGTTTGTTTTTCAATCAAGGTGAGGTGTTTACTTCATGTCTGCCATCATAGTCTCTTGTACAACTCAAGTCCCCAGAGCAGAGGGATGGTGCAATTCACCTCTACACTAAGGCGTATTGTGAGTTGAAGGCATTTAACACAAGAGTGTTTCATTACATGGCTTCTCTATTGTGCGAAGGGTGTGTCACGACTATTCCTCTCTCTCTCTCACACACAGACAGACAGACAGACAGACAGACAGACAGACAGACAGACAGACAGACAGACAGACAGACAGACAGACAGACAGACAAACAGACAAACAGACAAACAGACAGACAAACAGAAGCCCAGTTAAGTAGTTAACTATATAACTGCTTCATGTCTGAAAGGTATATTTATCTTCTGGCCACTTACTGGTCGTTGGATTCCAAAATGTCTTTAGCAATACAAGCTAGTTGTTGGTGACTGTAAGTCTACAGAAACGAGACTAAATCTGGTTTTCTGTTGAAATCACTGGAACGCTAGACATTTTCACCAGCCACATTTATGTTTGGATGGCACCATTGTTATGACCACAGACAGACTCAACCTTGTTAGTTTTCCCAACTGACTGTTCCCTGTTGTTGTGTGCATTGTGTATTTTATTTGTAGGGACCGCTGGTTATGTCCCAGACCTTTATGTATGTAACCTTATTTGTATGGTTTTAATGGGGTCTATTATATAAAAAGAAATACAAGGAACAAATGTAAAACACCTTCCTCAAATGCAAATAATTTGTATCTTTTGGATCTGGTTCCTCATATGCCAAAACAAATTGAACAAATACAAATATATCTCTGAATACATTAAATTGATTTACAAGTAAATACAAAATGCAGATCAGCCTCCTCTGACACTGATGCCTTTACACGCCCACATTTACCTTTCAGTGCAGATGATGTATTGCTTGTAATAACTGGCTCTTCTTCCTCTTCACAGTCATACGATAATGGGTTTGGCCAAGGAGCTGGGCGAGAGTCACATGGTGAGATTGATCATCTTGTAATGGTTTATGCTTTGTTACTACATATAACAACAATATCAGCCTGAACGCCGTTTCACATCAGGTGGGTGGTAAGTCCAAAAGTCAAATTTATGAACATCATCCAGGTTCACATCAGGTTAAAACATTGTGGGTGCCTCTGCAGTTTTGTGGTAGAGGGCGTGAAATGGGCTTATGGGAGTAACTGGTTTAAAGGATTAGCCATTACAATCCTTCTCTGTAGATACATTGTCTCATTAATCTCCAGCCCCTTACTCAAATTAAACATTATTTTTCTCACAAAATCCTTGATCCTACACACATTTCGAAGCAATGGTTTGGAGCATATCTAAACTCATATATTTGACAGGTAAGACTTCCTGTTAACACTGTGACGGTTTACATAAATGAAGTATAGAGAAATAAATCCCAGTAGAAATTGGTAATTTCCCTTCCTGCAATAAATTAAACAGTCTTCAGTAAGATTCATCCCTCTTCTGCAAACTCTGTCTGAGGACGGATTACACATCAGTGCAGGTGTACAGTTTGTGCCCATTGCCCATCATCCCTTGACGTTTGTGTTTGTTAAGCACCAAGACCTCGCACACTGTGCTTTAAATGTGCACTGACATTGGTTTTGTAGACGATGGTGTTTGAGCCACTCTGTAGTTCAATACGTGAAACATGGTATTACAGAAACTACGTGCCAAGGTTATATATGCACCTCTCCTTATGTATGTGTGTGGCTGGCTTTTATCTCACTGCTTCCTCTATTTTTCCGGTACTTTCTTCATCTTTAGGCTATGCACTCTTGATTTCTGAAGAGTGCTTTTCTCACTTAATGTACTTGATGTCCATGATTAACATACTGTAGCCGTGAGGGGAACACAGTGGTGCTCCGGTGTGAATATGTGCACCAAACCTGCTGTTAGAATAATCTGTTGTGGTTTCCTGTAAAGCAGTTTGATTCAGATTTATGTTCGTCTCCTGATCTTCCGTTGCCTCCAGCAGGTCGGGTTCTAGACATGTTTGATTAGAGACCAGTCTGACACGTCGGCAGATTTAGACGCCTGACCCACACACTTCACCCCCACCTTTTTCTTTGTGTCTCTCCACACACGAGCACAGACATAGATAAACAGCCGGGGATGGTGGTGGTGTTACGGGATGAGTTAAAAGCAGTTGACAGAGGATTTAGAAAGTGATGGATAGCTGCTGCTTGTGGCTGTCCTTTTAACAGCCTGTCATTATTCAATACACACTGTGCAGTAGGTCTCTGCATGCAACATATTTATTCCACTCAAATGTTTAAATATAAAAAAAGGCAGCCATAACAGCCAATTGCCTCGCTACTACTACTATACTGACTTCTTTATACTTTAAAAAACACAAGTACATTTCATATCAATGATGCTTCATATAAAAGGACAAAAAAAGGTGATATGTTGAATTAAACAAAGGCTCTTTTTAAAAAGAGCCTTTATTTATTATTAATTTAATAACAGATATGCCCTACAATATTAATAACTATTTTAAATTATTAATATTAGTTGAGCCTAATGTATATTTGAAGTAATGCCAGGATTAAATAGAATGAATAGTCATGTCACGTATTTTTAATTAGATTTAGAGTTTGAATCTCAATATTTGAAAAATGAAGCTTTGATTTATTCTGTACAGCCCTGGTAGCTCCACGTTGTGATAACATCCATAGAGAGGTGACAAATGAATGTAGCTACATGCTATCAAACATTTGGCTGTAAAAAAAAAAGCCCACACGCAGACACACCCTCTGTTCTTCCTGCAAAGCCCTGTAATCATATAGATGTCTGTCATCCAATTGTGTCAGTGTGAACCACTGGAACTGCTTTCCAATGGTAATACAAAAGAATCAGTTTATTTAATTGGATTTGTTTATAATGAATTTTCTGTATTTACTCTGTGTGTCCAGGTGGCTGGACGTACTGCGCCATAGCCTCTCTGTGTCTGATGGGGCGGCTGGAGGAGGCGCTGAGTCAGCGGGAGCTGGACAGGATCCGGCGCTGGTGTATCATGAGGCAGCAGAGCGGCTTCCACGGGCGCCCCAACAAACCTGTAGACACATGCTACTCCTTCTGGGTGGGAGCTACGCTAGAGGTACAGCCTGCACTGCATGCATTAAAGTTTTTTCACCCCTGTATTTCTCCACTTATGCCTTCATTTTTCACATACAGCTTGAAAAGAATTACATTGGGCATGTTTCAAATGGCACTGTCGTATATTCTTGCGCTGTCGAAACAACTGGGTTAATCCCGCACACCCACATACACATACACATACACATACACAGACAGACTCCAAAAAAAAACAACCTGTGAACAAACATACAGTATTTGGGTCATAACTATGCCAGAGGTATAGTACATACATGCACACACACGGTCCAGAAAACTGCAACTATCTATGAGTAAACCTTGGAAGGGGTAGACATTAAGGGTGAAATGCCACAGGTAACCACTGGCCCGGAGCATTCGTCCAAAAAAAAATCGACTTATAATGAAGAAAATGAACACATTTGTTGCAATAGTAATTTATGCACTAACTACATTACTACTTTTACTACAACATTTGAATCATCAGTTCTTCCTCATTTCCTCAATTGTTCATATTTGGTTTATTAAAATAATGATATTGTGGTCATTGTTCAAAAATGTCAGCTATTATTATGAGTATTATTATTTGTATAATGCGCTTTCTGCCTTCCTGTCATTAGGAGTTAGAAATGTAATGGCTATGTTAGATTAGATTAGTACCTTCATTATCCTAAACTGCTGGGACATTTCCCTAAAGCCAATACCTTTTATATTTTCTACTCTTCACTTACTTGTCAGCATAGGTCGGCATTGATGTATAGAGCCGACAGAAGACCTTGTTTATATTGGCATCATATTGAGAGGTGCAGCCAGTGACGCGTCCTAAAACCAGGAAGTATAAGCTGCTGGTTTCCTCGACAAAAAGCAATGGGATTTCTCCAAAGGGTTTTGGAAAATAGCTGGAAATAAGGTCTGTGGAAAACAAACCTGTTTGATAAATGCACGTTTTGTTCAGCCGGATAATCTCCACATGTCTACCCTACTTTTATAATTTTCAAATCATAAATCTAATCGATAGATTATAAAAGGGTTTTAGGACGCGTCACTGCACGAGAAGCCAACTCCATCGATCAAGCTGGCTGAAACGTTCTCTCCCTCTTCTTCTCATACTCCCTGTCACTCTCCTTTAACTCCTCCGGTGACTTTCTTTTATTTGAAGATTGTTTTTTGCCCGGCGCTTGGCCGGTTACCGCTGGTATTAAAAAGATTAATGGCGAATGGTTAGGTGGCGCGATAGTCTGTAGTGAAGGAGCGCGCTCCCGCTCACGGGAGCCTGCTCGCGCTCCGCTCCGCAGCAAACAGCCGTTTGCTTTTCACCCTACAACGACAACCGACTCACAAAACGCTATGTTGTAGCGTTAATAAACGAAACAATTTAACTAAATTGCAAGTCAAAATACCAATACTACAGGACAATTCTTTTTTTTTAAAGCAATATTTTTTGTGGCCCGAGCGGGCAAGTGGAAAGTACGTTATGCTGGCCCGGGGTGTCGAAATAGTGCTTCCGGGCCAGCGGGCCAATTATAATGTCGAGCCCTGTAGTATAAATGTAATGGTTGAAAGAAAGCTTTTCTGTTGAAATGTAAAACTTTATTTGGTTTAAGAAACTAAAAAGGTTCTGCTTTGATACACAAGGTTATCTACTTCATAATAAAGAAGGAATGTTTTAAATAATGAACCACAATCTGTCAACAAAAAGGAACAAGTCACAGGTGCAATAATGAATGTAGGGCGGAAGTGAACTTAAAGTGCCTCGGTGAATAAATGGTTCGTGCATTGCTTTGCAAACTGAGGTGTGTGAGATTTAGAGGTTCCACTGAAGCTGCAGAGGAATGTAAGGCATGTGTGGTATTATAGAAAGGCATTATGAAACAGTAATCCTGCAGCATGTAAGTGGACGAGTAGAGCGAATGTGGCTCACCAAAACCTTCACATGGAGCCCTGACTACCCTTTCTGATGACCACTTCCTCTCCTGACGCCAGCTTCCTGTACAGCTGCGACAGTTCATCTGGATGAGGCGCTTTGGACTCAGGCGTGCAGGGAATATCGAAGTCTGACGACGCCTGAGACTCTGAGAGCTCCGCCTTGCTCTCCTTCTCCTGAGTATTTATCCTGTAGTCTTCATGTTGCTCAGGGCGGAGGATCAGCGTGTCGGGGAAATACGAGTCCTGGTTCTGGGAGGAGTGGTTCGACAGCGAGGCGCAGAGCGTCAGACTGAAGTCCTCTGGGGTTTCCTCCTCCTCACTGAACAGTTCTGGGGTCTGTGAGCCCGTCATTTTGGAAGGGGAGGGGCTGGGGACAGAGCAGCAGGATTGTAATTGGCTGCTGAGGCTGTTCTGGCTGTCAGGAAGCGTCTCCGTGGTGAAGAAGTCCTCCCATTTCGGAGGGTGTGAGGAGCCTGCAACCTCAATTTTCTCAGCTTCCTCCATCGTCTTTTCCACCTCACCCTGACATAGATTGTTGTCCTCCTTTTCTTTGTTATCCTCCTCTTCCTCTTCCTCATCCTCCTCTTCACCATTGGACTCAGTGCAGTCTGCGTAGTTGCGTGAAACAGACTGCGTGTCTGTGACTGTCAGAGGAAAACAGTCCTCTGCAGACACAGGGGGCTCTGCTTCCTGAAGAGCTTTCACTAAGGATTACAGATGAGCAATAAATGTTTGTTCATAATAAATCATTTAAAAAAAGGATTAGAGCCATTGTAGGCTTCGATGAAATGAATACACCATCATACAACACATGTATACATGCAACAAATATAATCCCCTCAAAGAGTAAGGGGTTAAAATAACTACGCACCATTTTTTATTTCTTGGTTGAGCGCCATCTTCTTCCTCACTGGTGCCAGATCCAGCCCGTCAAACAGCTTCTCATCGCTGTCTGAATCTAAACAGAAGAGAACAGACACTCAATACTTTAAAGGTCCCATGTCATGGCCATTTCTACTGATCATAATTCCATTGTTGAGGTCTACTAAAATACATTTATATTGTGCAATTGTCCAAACACACATTGGTTTCTCATACAGCATCTCTGTATAGTATGTGTATTCAGTCTGTCCTAAACGGCTTGTTGGAGCTCCTGCCCCCCCCCCCCCTGTGAGCCCAGTGTGCGCTGCTGTGTGTTTATGTGTTACAACGAGACACCAGCGAAACCCAGCGCAGAAACACACACACACGCAGCCTGGCTGGGAGTTTGTGTGTGTGCCCAGGCTGAGTTCCGCAAGTGTCTCGGCCGACCCCACACCAGTGAGCCAACTCACAGTGTCGCGCGCTCCCCTCGCAGCAGCAGCCTCCCGCAACGTCCGCCGAGTGTGTGTGTGTGGAAGTCCGGCGGAATTGGTTCTCAAACGTAACGGCTTCCGCGGACGTACCTCACTAATACCCGAAATACGATCATATACCAAGAAGTAAACCAATGGAAAAAGAGAAATCTCGCAAACGGGCAGTTCTGCAGCAGAGAGCAGGTCTTTCTGAGTTAGAGTTTTAAATCCCTAACAGGGTGCACTTTGAGGTTGTGTGACTCTGCAGACCGTTACATGCAAAAAAGCACATAACACACAAGGGGAGCGGGTAAAGAACCAGAAAGCATGACATGGGACCTTTAGGTTTGTTAAATGACAAAACGTTGTATAGGCGTCCCAAGCGTATTTGTATTTGCCCACATTATCTGCTGCAAGTCATCCTTGCGTAACTATTATATCTTTCGAATACATTTGCTGTACGAAATAAAAGAACTTCATTAGAAGATGCACATTCACTTTAACTCCATTGTTATTTTTCTCACACACACAGGCCCGAAACACATGCACACACAGGAGATCAGACATGCATTCATCATGGGCGGCGTGTACCAAGGAAGAAGTTTATTGGGGCTTCAGGGGCGTCAAAGAGGAAAAGGGCCCGGGGTCGGCGGCTCTGTTGGGGAAAACATCTCAGAGAGGTCTGGTATCTCCTAAATATCCAGCTGTAAGAATGCTCCCTACTTCTCTTTGTGGTTTGTTTTTGAAAGAGAAGCTCCAAATGAAGCTTGATAAGCAGAATGTATTATCTTATATTTCAGATGTAATAGAATGAAATAGTCCCCAAGACGTCTCAGCTAGTTCCAAGAAAAACAACATTTATATATCAAATTTCCACCGTACTGTACCAAGCAAATTGAGGCTAAGGAAACTGTTAAGATGTCACGCATTTGCAGCCAGGCACCTGTTTGTGGGTTAATATAATGTATAGTGAAAGTGTGTCTCCAGCCATATGTAGGTCGCTTCACCATGCCAGCGTTTGAGGGCGCCCGCGTCCCAGAGTTTTGTAACTGTCGGGCTGCTTGATCCGACTGGTTCGCTGCACATCAAGCATCAGCCTGTTAAAATAGCAAAGTGTCAACAAGTGTATGGGCAAAATGCAAAACAACTCAGACTCTTACAACACGTGATGTAAAAAAGTTTTGGAGGTACGGCCGTGTTGTATCAAGATTCAACTCACATCTGTGTGACCTCAGTGAGTGTGCGACCAACGAGGGATGACACTGGGGTAGATGTTGACGGCTCGGAGGTACGAGAGGAAGTCTTTCAGCTGAAATCAGAGAGGCGGCACAATACATTTTAAAAGCACATTATTTCAAGAAGAAAAATTAAGAGATATTATATCAGCATGTAAGCATCTGTAGTACCTCGTAAGTAGGAGGACATGGAAACTGAAGCACGGCTCTGAAGGAACTTGCTCCTGTTCTCGGAATAATAACCCAACAGTAACAAAAAGGCAAGTTTTAGGCATCCCATGAGATTACTGTTAACATTCTTCTTTTAGTGTCCGTTTCATCCTAAGCACTTAATTGACTACTAAAATGTTAATGTATCATGGACAAGGCGTTTGTCAAGTGAACAAATAGTTCTGGATACATCTGAAGTTGCTCCTTACTTTATGACAACGTTGTTCCTCGTTCTCTCTCCGAACCGCACATGGTGGATGTTGATGCTGATGATTCTGAAGAGGGGTCCCGTCACGAACGCTTTGCAGCCACAAACGGCAGCCCGGCTGCCCTGGGAAAAACTCCTCAAGCCTACACACACACAGCACACACACACACACACACACACACACACACACAGCACACACACACACACAACACACACACCACACACACCACCACACACACACACACACACACACACACACACACACCAGCACACACCCACCAGAACACACACACACCACACACACACACACACACCAACACCACACAACACACACACACCACACACACACACACACACCGATATACATTGTTTTGAATAATAGTTCAATGCGAAAGAGT